ATGGTGCCGCAAAAAGCGACTGGAGAAGAGTTGCAAAATTTGAAAAAAATATCAGAAAAACTGGGTTGTAGTTGAAAATTATGTCTTAAAATAATTGTTATGATTCTGGAAGTAGGTCAACGTACATCGCTTCGATAGTTTAACGGATATAATATCGAAACGATACCCACAGGTCCCAGGTTCGAGTCAGGCTCTAAGTGATTTTTTTAATAACTAAAAAAGTATGTGGAATATTTTTTTTTATTATTTATTATACTACAGAAATCAGATAATATCTGTTTAAAGTTCCGAAAAACTATCGATTACTACTCCAGAAACAAAATAAGTATACATTATAAACATTTGTTTCATTAAGGTCATTTTCAAAATAAAAAGTATGTGGAATATTTTTTTTATTATTTATTATACTACAGAAATCAGATAGGACCTGTTTAAAGTTCCGAAAAACTATCGATTACTCTTGTAATATAAGATATAAGGAAAATCACTGTACTGACATTTTATTTATTTTTATTGACAACATCAAAAATCCTCGCTAGTCCATACTATATCACCTCTTAGATTATATATTATATGATATACAGACTTGTATATCAACACTCCCTCCTAATCTAAGATTGATGTAGCACAGGTACCCATTACTTAGATTAAATAATAAAATATTAAACTAATAAACTCTAAAATTACTCCCTCCTAATCTAAGTAAGGCAGTGATTATGCAAGATGGAGTATTTCCAAAAAAATATTAAAAATATTATAGGGTAAACTTTTTGTAAAAATATCTGCTAATTGTTTATTAGAAGGAATATATTGAATTGAAATGTACTGAAGTTCTACACACTCTCTAATAAAACAATACTTTGTATCAATGTGTTTGAGTCTTTGGTGTTTCCTTGGTTCAGTGGCTATTTTAATACAAGATTGATTATCTTCAAAAATAACTGTTTTGTCATTTAGTTCAACACCCATTTCGTTTAACAAACCTCTTAACCACAAACATTCAGTAGTAGTAGCTGCCAGAGCAATATATTCTGCCTCCGTGCTAGACAGTGCTACAGTTGGTTGTTTTTTTGTTGACCATGAAACTGTTGAACCAAAAACTTGGAAAACATACCCTGTTATTGATTTTCGATCTTGAACATCATTTGCAAAATCTGCATCACAATAGCCGCATAATGCTGTTGAGTTTGATTGTTTGGTGAAAACTAAATTTAAATCTTTAGTACCTTGCAAGTATCTTAATACTCTTTTTAAATATTTCCAATGTTGTTCAGTAGGGCAAGATTGGAATCGGCTTAAAAAATTTACTGCAAAGCTTAAGTCCGGTCTAGAGTTGGTCATTAAGTACATTAAACAACCAACGAGTTCTTTATAAGGTTTCGTTGTTATAACTTCACTATTCGGAATTTCTTTTAAATTTATTTCTATAGGACTTCTTACTGGACTACATTCTGACATTTGAAATTTTTCTAGTAATTTAATAATGTAATGAGTTTGATTAATTTGGAGTATTCCTTTCTCTATGTTTCTAATAATTTTGATCCCCAAATAAATATCTACATCTCCCAAATCTTTCATGTGAAAAGTTTTATTTAACATTAGCTTTAATTGATTAATGTCAGTGTTACTATTTCCTGCAATTAAAATATCATCAACAAATAACAGTAAATATAAAATATTCTTGTCTCCAGTTTTTACATACAAGCAATTATCAGATTCACAACGTTTGAAGCCAATTTTAATCATCGCTTCATCAAAACATTTATACCAACATCTTGGAGCCTGCTTTAAGCCATAAAGGGATTTATTTAATTTGCACACTAAACTGTTATCATTTTGAAAACCCTCAGGTTGTTTCATATAAACGTCTTCAGTTAAATGTCCATGTAAAAACGCTGTTTTTACATCCATTTGATTAATTATTAAGCCATATTCATTTACTAAAACTAATAAAATCCGTATAGTTATAACATTGGCTACAGGAGCATAGGTTTCAAAATAATCAAAACCAAATTTTTGCATAAATCCTTTTGCAACTAAACGCGCTTTATACCGAATTATCTCATTATTTGCATTAGTTTTATATGTAAAAATCCATTTACAAGGTATAACTTTCATTTCTTTGCAACGTGGAACAAGAGTCCACGTATTATTTTCTACGAATGAATTCATCTCTTCGAACATAGCTTCTTCCCACTTTGTTCGATCAGGATGATGCTTTACTTCTTCAAAACATTTTGGTACATCATTAACATAGTTTTCCGCAGAATATGCATAATGCGAATAATTATTATTGTCTTCGTCTGGCTTAACAAAACTAGCATTAACAAAGTTATCTTTATGCCATACACCTGGCTTGCGTTTACGTAATTTAGGACCACTGACGTTTTCATTTGTATCATTCTCTACATCAAAACTTAATTTATTTTCCTTATTTGATTCTTGACTTTTATTTCCATTTACGATTTCTACTTCTTCTGAAGAATGTTCTGACTCATTATCTTGTAAATCATTAATTGACTTTTCATTTGAGTCGTTTGATATAATTGGATAAACATATAATGAAGATTCATCCAACGACAAAGGTTTTAAGGTTTTCTGGAAAACCGCTTCATCAAATGATACATCTCTACCAACTTTAATACAATTTTGAGCTAAGCTCCATAGTCTATATCCCGTATTAGCATAACCAATCATAACACATTTATCACTCCTCTCATTAAATTTACCATTTTGTAATTGTTTAGGAATATGTAAATAGGCTAAACAACCAAATACCCTTAAATTACTTAAATTGGGCGTTTTCGAATGCCACATTTCAAAAGGCGTTTTGTAATTGTAATTAGCAGCTGTTGGTGATCTATTAAGTAAATATGCAGCAGTACGTATACTTTCTCCCCAAAATTGTTTATTTAACCCCGATTCAATAATCATGGATCTACCCTTGTCTAATAGTGTCCTATTCAGCCGTTCAGCATGTGCATTAAGTTCAGGCGTGTAAGGAATAGTATAATCTAACTGTATACCATTCGAAGAACAAAACATTTTAAATTCTTTCGAAATATATTCACCACCATTATCGCACCTAACTTTATTTATATTTCTCTCAAAATGAGCTCTAGCCATTGCTTCAAATTCTTTAAAATACTTTAAAACCTCCGATTTTGAATATAATAAATAAACTACACAAAAATGAGTAAAATCGTCCAAAAAGGTTACAAAATACTTCTTATTGTCATGAGTTGTTGGCGTTATAGGGCCACATACATCAGTGTGAATTATTTCTAAAGGTTTGTTAGCTTTGGTGCGTCCAAGACTAAACGGCAGCCTATGTTGCTTGGCCATAGTACAAACTTCACATTTATTTAACTCATTATCATTGATTAGGTTTATTCCATTAGATAATTCAGATAATCTTTTAAGATATTGATCATTTATGTGCCCCAACCGCCTGTGCCACAAATTAGAGCTAATTTTTGAACAAAGTAATGAATCTAAATAATTTTTATTATCAAACTCAAACACTATTTCATACAACATACCTTTACGAAAACCCTGTGCATAAATTCGATTACCTTGCATAATCAGTACCTTATTATCATCAAAAACAACTTTAAATCCATTTTTTTCAATTTTTCCTACGGATAATAAATTTTTTCTTAGATTTGGTACATAAATTACATCCTGAATTGTACACGCACACTTCCTTCCATTGACATTACACATTGCTTTAATATTTCCTATATGTGTGCCTTCTAATTCTTCACCAGCTTTAGCAACTCCAATTTTAGCTATGGAGTCTAAAATTTTGACATTACTTAAAGCATTAACATCATTCACTAAATGATCAGAAGCTCCAGAATCCACGTACCATGTCAACACTTGGCTAGTTTCTTTGAAGTTATTTACCATAAATGCTATGTTACCAGATTCATCTTCGTTATTCATTTGAAAATCTTCTACATTATTTGCTCGCTTTTGGTTATACCATGTATTTTTATTTCTTCTAGGTTGCCTTGCACGGCTATGTGGGCAATTATTTTCAATGTGACCTAGTTCGTTGCAATTAAAACATCGCACTTGTCTTCTAAAAGGAATTTTAGATTGAAATGCAGCACTATTATTCACATCACTAGGTGTGCAGCTACCGATATTGCTTCTTCTCTTCATTTCTTCATTCAATAATCTATTTTTGACAAATTCAATTGTTATCTTATCTGGTGATAAAGTTTCTATCGCAGTAACAACTATATTATAAGATTCCGGTAAAGTTAAAAGCAAAATACAAGCAATCATATCTTCTTCAAGTTTACCTCCTGCAGATTTGATTTGTCTTACAATATCATCAAATTGTACTAAATGATTTTCCATTGAATCATTATCATTAAATTTTATAGTTAATAACTTCTTCAGCAATAATAATCTGTTCGAAACGCCCGTTCTTTCAAAAGTTGAAATCAATTTATTCCATTTTTCCTTAGCAGTAGAACCCTCTCTTACGTATTCTATATGAGAATCAGCAACACATTGAATTATAATAGATTTTGCTTTAGTATCAAGCTTTTCAAAGTCTTTCTTTTTAGTTTCATCGTCAGGGGGATCTTTTGTAAGGCACTCTGCAACCCCATATTCTTCTAAGATTGACTGGACTCTGAACTTCCACACGCTAAAATTCACTCCATGAAACTGGGTTATGCCAAACTTTTCTTCTTTCTTTCCAGACATATTTGCTAAACAAATCTAAAAGCTGTTCTGGGCCATAACCTCTTGTAATATAAGATATAAGGAAAATCACTGTACTGACATTTTATTTATTTTTATTGACAACATCAAAAATCCTCGCTAGTCCATACTATATCACCTCTTAGATTATATATTATATGATATACAGACTTGTATATCAACAATTACTACTCCAGAAACAAAATAAGTGTACATTATGATCATTTGTTTCATTAAGGTCATGTTCAATCTAAAAAGTATGTGGAATATTTTTTTTTTATTATTTATTATACTATAGAAATCAGATGGTATTTTTTTAAAGTTCCGGAATATTATAGATTACTACTCCAGAAACAAAAAATAAGTATACATTATGAACATTTGTTTCATTTCATTTTTATTTTGATGAGAGTGAGTTTGGTATTTTGTCATTTAAGTATTCTAGAAATGCTTTTAATCAATTTCATGAGATATAGCTAATGTAAGTTTTTAAATTGTCACTCCGTATAATAAAATGTACATTAACGTTCTATGTATTAAAAAATAAAGTTTTAGTCTAAATAATTCCAATCAAATAGTAATTTATACAGTTGTAGCTACATATTAGTGTGTTATAATTTCTTCCATACCAGGAATATCTAACGCTGGATTATCGTATTCGAAGGAATCGAAGTGGTCATCGACATCACTGTAGTGCGGCACATTCTTATTGTCTGGTTCGGGTTTAATGCAACAAACTTGAGTATAACTTGATGGGCATTGAACACTGCAAATATAAAATAAAAGTTATTGAATTTTAAATGTAATTAAATTATGAACCAGTATTTTTGTCCAATATCTTTTGATTTATTAATTTGTCGAGATATTGCAACAAAATAACGTCCAACCCTGTTCTTTGTTGACCTTTACCGTAACTTAAAAAATAATCACTTTATCCAATTAATTACTACTTTAATAATTACTACATTAATAATTTTTAAATATTCTTCCGCCAGTTGTACAGGTTACGTCTATAGTACAGTTTAAACTGGAGAAACTTGAAAATGTACCCTGCAAAATTTTAGGGGGTATGAGACAGTGCATGGGGGGACATAATTCCATATAATATTCATGCCACTACTCCTCACTTCGCCCTAAGCTAGCCTTACTTACAAATTTTCAATTACACCATATATGTTATAGGAGATTATTAAAGAGCTTTTTAGTACATACATTTTATCAAAAATATTGGACATAAATTATGTTCTTGGGTAAAAAATAGGTCGATTGAACCTTACTTACCTATGTACAAAATTGCACACAAAAATTAATTAGTTGAATGTCAAGGGAATGTTGCGGCGGCTGCAAGGCTTTATGCAGAAAAATACCAAAATAGAAATGTACCGGATAGGCGCATATTCCTAGAAATTGATCGCCACTTAAGAGAAACTGGCATTTTTCAGAAAGAAGTGCGTGGTAATAGTGGTCATCCAGAAAACCGTGCTAAAGATGAGGCTATCCTAGACATTATTGACGAGCACCCGGGAACAAGCACAAGGGTGTTAAGTGCTCAAATAGAAGTATATCATATGAAAGTGTACAGAACCGTTAAGGAACCGCTACTTTAACCCTTCCCACCATAAAATTAATTTTAAAGTAGTTTGGGTTGGAATTATCGATAACTAAACTGCTGGCCACTCGAACTTACACATAGAAATTTTTAGGCAAAATTTAAAGTTCCATATTTTCTACAGGAATGCAAATTTTTGAACGCGGCTTGCAGATTTTAAGAGCTAGTTTTTTTCGGATTAACCTGCATGACGTATATTTATCGTAGGACCATATGTTTATTATATACGGGGTACTCAATTAAATCATACAAACAATCATAAGTGAAATTTCCGCAAAAATTTTTTTGGTTATTACTAAGGTAACATCAATATCTCTAGATGTTTTTGACAGTTTTTGGATTAAGGCCCTTAGGTCTTGTTCACACTACTAAACATAAAATTTGGGTAGCAAAATTTTTAAAATGCTACAACTTGACATTGGATTGACGGTTCTTGATGATTTTTGCGCATTTGGAATCCTTATTTCACGTAGATTTTCTGTGGTCTAAGCATTTTATTTGAGGATTGAAATTTACACATTATACCGGGTCGATAATAAACAAAAACGTAGCGACAAGAACAAATTTATTACATTATATTCTACAATATACAAGATTGGTTAACATCGGCCAAAAGTCAATTCTTACAAAATTTCTAATTCTAAACCTAATTTAAAGATTCCTGCAATCCCTAAAAAACACGGTGTACTGTAATAACAAAGATTAGATATGTATGGATAGGGATACCTAGTGGTCATTTATATTGGTAATTTTTGTTTTAAAACCACTGCGTCAAAGAAGGGAATTGCAAACTTGCATTTTTGGAGTTTACAATGAAATTTGGTTATTGTTGGCAACATCGTCTTAAAAAGACGAGGTCATTGAAAACAACCCGCAAATATCAATGGAAAAATGCCAAGTGTCCTATCTTTAAATATCTAATCTTTGGTAATAATTTACCCGAAATTAAGTAGGTACATTAATTAAAAAAAAAAGAAATTAATATTTTGTTGGTCCTCCTGCTCGACGTATTACTTCCCGACGTCGATTTGGTAGAGTATCCACAAGATTATTTATAAAAGCTTGTGGAATATTCTCCCATTCTTCACGAATGGCCTCACTAAGCGTTTCTAAGATTTCAGGGGTTACATCACGCGATCTTACTAGTTTTAAATAAGACCAAACGTGTTCGATGACATTAAGATCCGGAGACTTTGCAGGCCAGTCCATCCTATTGATGTTCTCTGCCTGCAAAAATTATGTGATCCTTTGCGCTTTGTGAGGTCGAGCGTTGTCATCCACCAATAGAAATTCTGGGCCGTAATTTCGAACAGTAACGTTAACGGTTTGGTTGGTAATGAATAGCTCGGTTTTACTATTTCTTATGATACCTCCCCACACTGTAACACCTCCGATACCAAATGCCTCTTGAGGGGCCATATTTTCCTCTAAACACCGCTGATTTGGCCCTCTCCAAACTAATATTCGGCCATCGGAGTGAATCAAATTAAATCTTGTTTGGTCAGTAAATTAAAAAAGGCTCCTCTTTGCATTATCCCCATTCGCATGCCGATTTGCCCATGCCCGTCTCTATGGTGCTGTAATAATCGCACACATTTTGCTCTTCGACGGGCTCTATAATTTAAAATGTTTGGCATTGTGTTGTTTTTGAAAAAAAATTCTCGCCTCAAGTTGTTTTTAATGTTCTTCTCATTGTTCTGTCCGAAACTCTCTCCCCAGTCTGTTACCTTAAAGAGTCATTTAGTTTTCTAGAGTTCTTTGTTCTATTCTGCATAGTTTCATTAAAATTCTTTCGATTCTTTGGTTTATTTTTTTAGTATGTCCACCCCATGTCCATAATAATGATCCTACTGGTGATTATAATTTCGACGTGACTGTTCAAATTATAAATTGTCTTTCGGCTGACGTTGTAAATGTGCGCAATTTGCTTTTTTGACATTTCTTCGTTGAAAAGTCGAATGCAATTTTCCATTTCTGCCGTGGTTAAATGCCTCTTAATTAAAATTTACAAAATTATAACCTTGAAATGTGTCAGATTCTTTCTAAGATAATGTTAACAGTTTTTAATTCCATGGCAACATATTTGTTTTTCCAATGCGTCGCGTAGAAATTACCGCCGATCATAAATATGGGCATGGGGGTGAACAAAGAACTCTGTGAAACTGAATGACTCTTTGAGACAACAAACTGGGATGAGAGTTTTGGACAGAAAAGTGAGAAGGATATTAAATAAAAACAACTTGAGGTGTGAAAAACTTAAATAATGCCAAACCTTAGAGCTCGTCGTATGCTACGTTTTTGTCTATTATCGACCCGGTATAAAATAAAATGCTTAGCCCATAGAAAATCTATGTGAAATAAGGATTCCAAATCTGCAAAATTCATCAAGAACCATCAATCTAATCTCAAGTTATAGCATTTTAAAAATGTTGCTACCCAAATTTTATACAAGACCTAAGAGCCTTAATCCAACAACTGACAAAAAGGTCTAGAGATATTGATGTTACCTTAGTAACGAACCATATTGCAACGACCAAAAAAATTTTTTGCGGAAATTTCACTCATACAAACTTTTTGACTTTTTGCATGACTTCATTGATCACACCGTATATAATAAACGATAAATATACGTCATACAGCTTAATCCTTTAAAAACTAGCTCTTAAAATCTGCAAGCCGCGTTCCTGTTGAAAATATTAACTTTAAATTTTGCCTAAAAGTCTCTATGTGTAAATTCGAGTGACCAGCAGTTATATAGTAGGGCCAGTATTTGTTCACAATAATGTAAATGGGGAAAATTATTTATTACAAAACGATTTGCCAATCTACTTAGATGATGCACAATTAACCATCAGACAAAGTATGTGATTTATGCAAAATGGTGCTCTACCACACTTTAGTAACGATGTTAGGCAATATCCAGCACGTTGGATAGGAAGGGGACCCGATGCACCAATTGAATGACCACCGCGCGGGCCATATCTTAATCCCCCGGATTTTTGTTTTTGGAGATTCATGAAACACTATGTTTATTCCGTGGAAATACCTAGTAAACATCAGTTAAGAAATCGAATTTTAGAAGCTGCTAACGCATTTGAACAAAATTAATTTGTCAAAAAAATCGATTTTCATTGTTAAAAAGATGTAAAATGTGTACACAGGAAAGAGCAGGTCATTTTGAGCAACTGTTAATTTAAATTATTGTATTTTAAGGTTAATAGTTGTAATTTAATAATAAACCTGATTTTCATATTTCTGCAAACGTAGAATTTACATTGAAAAATTTCAACAAATAAGTAGCTGTATCGTTTAAACCAAACATTTTACTAACAAATACTAGGAAACAAAAAAGTTTTAAAATGGATGTTGAATTCCAGTGGCATTCTATTTTCGACTAAATTTTATACCAAAAAAAGTTGGGTGGTCAAAAGGGCGATGACCGCCTCGAAAACCCTACAAAAATCGAGAAAAAATATTGCTGCTAACTCGGCTTTATTAGTCATTGTATTCTAACACGCCAAATTTCATAAAAAAATGTTAAACGGTTTAAGAGCAACGTTAAAAAAATTCATCAACCTATTTTTGACCAAAGAATATGTGATACCAATCATTGTGATACACCCTGTATAGGAATCTTCAATTTTAAGGATATGAGGCAGTACATAGGACGACCTAATTCCATATTCTTTTAATCCTACTACTCTTCCTTACTTCACCCTAAGTTTGACTTACAAATTTTCAATTACATCCTGTATATATTATAGGGGATTATTGAAGACCACACTATTTTGAGTATATCCATTATATAAAAATTGGTAATTGGTAACGTTGATAAAAATTTAAAAACTGATGACGGGATTAACATAGATTACACCAAAATTAATTTCACACATAAAAGTAGTAAGATATTGTAAGTCAGATCAGAATATTTTTAAAGAATTTATTAACTGTTTGTTACTTTTTTGTTTCTCATGAATACTAATAATTTTTTTCTTACTAACAAAAAAATTTCTAATAAAATATTTTTTAGTTCTTTATTGATTTTCAGATTCCGCTATAATTTACCAAAATCTACCAATATCTATATTTTATCTAGTATATATTACAGATCAGTGAGTTGAAGTCCCTTCTTCTTTCATACTTACTCAGAGTTAATAGTTCCTTCGCAATATCTCCCATTCATACAAACGCATTGGTTTTCCTTTGGGTTTTCTATTTGACTCGCTCGTAGCATATAGGGGTTTCTTTTAAAAAACGATGAAAATAAATAACGTTTGGTTATTCTCGGTTGTGGATAACTCCGAGTTAATTCAACCAGAGCAACTAACACTACACACAACATTAACGTTTTTCCAACCATAACGACCTCCCCTTTCGCACAACTGTTTCAATTATAAAAATAATTGTTTGTTATCCCGTTTATTTATGGTTTCAAAATAATCAAGGTCGTGTGGGCTGCTATCAATTATTGTTCTTTTATCGATATATTTTTAACGAATTTTCTTTTGTAAATAATCGTTCGTTTCGTTTATCACATTATCAATTCGATATTAAATTTTTAAATGTACGTTAATACTCCCTCTTGTTCTTTCAATACATAACCGTTTTCCACTTAGTTTACTACCTCTTTCTCATTAACATATACAGGGTGTCCTAAAATTGCTGGGTCATATAGATACTCCGTATTGGAGAGGTCAAAATAAGTCGATTGGATCTAATTTATACACATGTTAGGATAAGATTATACGAGCCATACGGTGTAGGTACTAGGAAGGGCCGAAAAAAATTAAAGTTTAAATTTTAATTTGCTATAGCATTCAAAAGCTGCGTTTCGTTATAAAAACTGCTTTTTCACAATTTTGAAATTATATTTTCAGCCTTCTACCAGGCCCCAAAATAGCTAAAAATAAAATTAAAATTAAACGTAAAATTTTAATTAAAAGCTGTGTTTGAACATATACACTGGTTTCGAAATACGTTTTAAGCCCTCTACCACCCCCTTCTAAAATTTATATAGACAAATAAATTTACTTTAAAATAACCAAAAAAGGTTGACAGCTGTGTGCACGTAGTTTAGATTCCAAAGGAAAAACTTGTATTTCGTGCAAAACTTTTTTATTAATCAATGCAAAGCGCTTTCGGCTTATTTGCCATCATCAGTGCTCATCTACAAAAATTGTGGATGTGGATTTAAAAAGATTTAAAAAAATATATTATAAAATCTGAATTAGACTTTTAAGTCAAAAGTTAAAATAGTATATATACAATTGTTTGAACAAATTAAAAATTACAAGAAACAAACAAAGTGACAAAAAACTGGTATTGGGAATAGTGAGTTTGGAATAAGCCCTTACAAATCAAATCTGATCTCCAGAAGCAAGTTAGCTTGTGTGGAATTAAGGAATCATGCCACCATCACTATTCACAAAATTGAAAAAAGGTTAACAAATTAGTTAAAATTTAAAGAAATTTACAATTAGAGGGTGACTGTGGAAGATATATTGAAATTTGAATCTAGAATACAATATTTGATATCACTTTGTTTGTTTCTGTAATTTTTAATTTGTTCAAACAATCGTATATATACTATTTTAACTTTTGACTCAAAAGTCTAATTCAGATTTTATAATATATTTTTTAAAATCTTTTTAAATTGTAAGTTTACATCCACAATTTTTGTAGATGAGCACTGATGATGGCAAATAAGCCGAAAGCGCTTTGCATTGATTAATAAAAAAGTTTTGCACGAAATACAAGGAAATAAATTTACTTTCAAAATTGAAATTCCGATTTTTAGTATAATTGCAACCCAACTATTTTCCACTATAAAAGCGCCCTTTAATTTAAAATAATTTTAACCTCCCACTCCCATCCTTACATAAAAATAGTACCTACTTTTTAAACATTATATCTTCTCAACGTCGAATCTCTTAAAACTGTAATCTATTTAAATAGGTAGAAACAAAACAAGACCTAAAATTGAAAACATTTGGAAATAGGCATCAATTCCAACTGTTTCAAAAGACAGAATTGTGCAATTAGTACGGAAGTATTATGAAAAATATAAGACTTTAATAAGATATCCCAGAAGCAAGCGAAACAACATGGATCATCACGATCCTATATATCATCTAAATTTTCTTTTCTTTATTTTAATCTCATTAAAGATTATAATTAGAGCTGGTAACCGTGACCGGTTAACCGGTTCCGTAGGACCAAAAAATCGTTAAAGTAACCGGTTTTACCGGAACTGGTTTATAACCGGTTTAACCGTAACCGGTTTAACCGCAACCAGTTTAACCGCAACCAGTGTAACTCTAATCGAACAGGTTAAACCTGCCACTTGTTAAGCCGTAACTGGTTTAACCGTACCCGAAACCGGTTTTAGCGAGACCGTGAACGTAAACGAACAAGTTTAGTTTGAGCTCTCAGTAGGGATACGCATATTTCTTAAACCGTCGATACTAACATCGAATGATATACCCAAAAACAAAGTATTGCTGCATTAAAATGACCGAAGGGAAAAAAACGATATTTATAAACATCGATGTTTTTAAAACTTATACATTTAAAAGTAAGTAAATAAAATGAGATTGTATTTATTTTATAAAAAAATATAAACAAATATAAACATTTCAAATGTAATAATAAAACAAAGCTCTCTACTTCTCTCGATACCAGAAGGGGTAGAAGAGCTTCCTGATCCTGGACCATATTTTTATGTCTAATTCTAATTAATTAGAAAGTCTCAGACAGTGCTGCACCCAAATTACAGTTACATCCGGACCGGTTAACCGGATAATCGAACCGAATAATCGGACCGGTTAACCGATATCCGGACCGGTTATAATAATAGTAAAAACCCGGTTAAAACCGAAACCAGTCAAAATCAGTCGAACCGGTTAACCGTTTATCACGTCAGGAATTGACAGCCTTAATTATAATGTATTTACAATTGTATCCAAATAGGTTGTTCGCGTCAAATTTGCTTTTATTTTCTTTACATTAATAAATTATATTTGATGAACCTATATCACAGCCTATACCTAAACCTTATTTATTTATTTATTTATTTATTTATTTATTTATTTATTTATTTATTTATTTATTTATTTATTTATTTATTTATTTATTTATTTATTTATTTATTTATTTATTTATTTATTTATTTATTTATTTATTTATTTATTTATTTATTTATTTATTTATTTATTTATTTATTTATTTATTTATTTATTTATTTATTTATTTATTTATTTATTTATTTATTTATTTATTTATTTATTTATTTATTTATTTATTTATTTATTTATTTATTTATTTATTTATTTATTTATTTATTTATTTATTTATTTATTTATTTATTTATTTATTTATTTATTTATTTATTTATTTATTTATTTATTTATTTATTTATTTATTTATTTATTTATTTATTTATTTATTTATTTATTTATTTATTTATTTGTTCCATCCTAACAGGCTTACTGGCCTACATTACAAGGATAGACTTTACAATATTTATTATTTACACAATCGATCAAAACGTATTAATATACATATTAAATAAATAGATATATAGATATAGGGGGATTAAACACAAACTCATATTGAGAAAAAAAAATTCTAAAAAATAAAAAGCAAATCATATAATAAAAGAAATGGAAAAACTAAAATAATTAAACAGACAAGTTCACAATATACCTATAAATTAGGTGTCTGAATGTTATTAGAGGCATATGCCAATCTACTTCGTGCAAGCAAGTAATATTATTTGCTAAACGGAGCATGGTTAGGAGAGGTGATCGAAGAGTGCTACTTACAAAGGGAATATTAAACATAATCGCGGAACGCGTTGGTCTAGGAGGTACATTAAATGGCAAAACTGATAATATTTCTGCGGAATTTATATATTATATATATTATGGTCCGCCTATAGTTTTACTCTTTCTTTTTTGTTCCTTTATCCAAAATTGAACGTATTGCGACTTTTTGGAGAAAAGGCAGAAGACAGTAGTATCGCTAACCGATGATAAACATTATTATTGAGAAGTACATGAGTATTCCTTTCACGTTAATTTCAGGGGAGTTGTCTTTTTCGACTAAATCCAATATATATCTTTTTCGATCTAATCCAATATATACCCTTTTCGACCTAATCTAATATATACCTTTGTTAAGTCAAATAAATTAAAATTAAAATTACGATTTACATTACAATAATATAAAACAATTAAACGCCACGCGAACCAGTTTCTGCATGCATGTGTGAAAAGACCCGGAAAGTACCTACTATGGAACAAAATACCGCAAGGAAGGAGTTTGAAAGTGACAACAGAAGACTAAGGAGTCTGTATTTTGATGGAAGAAGGGATAAAACTTTACTCCAAGAGAAGAAAAACGATAGATTATACAAGAAAACTGTTTTCGAAGAACACATATCGCTTATCGAGGAACCCGAATTTGTCTATATTGGCCACTAACTTCAACTACAGGGAAGATAAAGTCAATTGGAAAAGCAATATTGGACTTTTTTGCTAAAAACAATTTGGAACTAGATGATTTGGCGACTGTGGGTTGCGATGGTACTGTTGTTAACACCGGTAATACAAATGGTGTTATTAGGTATATTGAGACTGAATTGAAACGTCCTTTACAATGGTATATTTGCGAACTACACGCCAACGAATTGGCATTAAGACATTTATTCCAACATTTAGATGACAGCACAGTGTGACCTCGTCAATATTCTGGTGAAATCGGGAAGTCTTTAGAAAAATGTTAACGTCTTAAAATTGTAAATTTTACCCCAATTAAATGTGAGTCGCCAAATGTAACTGTAATGTCTTGAAATTTAAGTTCTAATCAATGATATTTATATGACATTTGCAATTCAATATCAAGCGACAATTTATCATCAAATTTAGCATACTGTAATCCTGGGAAATTAGCGCACTCTAGATGGCTCACAATGGCAAATCGTCTTCTTCGGTTTCTATGCTGGAACGGAAAAGCCAACATCAAGCCTTGTGGATATGGTTGAATTCGTAATTAATGTGTATGCCCAAATGTGATTTAATATTAAACCAAATTTCAGTTCCACTAGTGGTACTTTGTACGTATTTAAAACGATTGAACTGTCACGGTATTTAAGAGACGATTTAGAGTATTGTGGATAAGATAATGCAAAGAAACGCGTATTTTATACACTCAGCAAACATTCTTTTGTATGTGGCCAATATGTAGGATTTCCAGTAGATTGATAACAGAGTTGCTGCATTATGCAATTATTTTCCTTTAGTCTGGATCTCCATATAGAATTTTTAGAATTGTAATTTCTACCAATGATAAATTTGTTTCCTAATTGGTTAATGATCTTGAGATAGTCT